AGAGGGGGAGAGAGAGAGAGAGAGAGAGAGAGAGAGAGAGAGAGAGAGAGAGAGAGAGAGAGAGAGATTTCCGCTTCGCTTTCAACTGTGGTTTCGGCGCTTACTTTGTAGTCTCTGTCTCTCTGTGTCTCTCTCCATGTAGTCTCTGTCTCTCTGTCTCTCTCCCTCCCACGAAGGCGTGTGGTTGGAGACGCCCAAATTGACGAACTCTTCTGTCTGTATGTTGTGACCTGCTTGCCCGTCAAACAAGGGGTCCCACCCCAAAAAAAGAAAACAAGGGGTTCCACACCTGTAGTTTGACCTCTCCGAAGGAACATGGAAAGTGGTTTTCTAATTATTTCGAGCTGAGCAGGAAAATAACAAAGGTGACCATGTCATCGTTGCCGGACGAACGACGAACACAGCAGTCCGAGGAGGAAAATAGACTTCTATATGAACCACCGGCAGAGCGATGTGCTTGTAGTTTATCACCACCAGGGCGAGCTGTTGCGGATCATATCCTGCAGCAGCTGAACGCCCTTGCGTTGGACCGATCCTCCCTGTCGTCGTCTGCCCATACAGAAGGAACACATACTGAGGAAGCCCAAGAAAGATGCTCCATGCCGTTTTGTGATGACCTGCCGGAGATTCAACTAGCATGTGGTTCGCATGCCTTGTGCCGTGAGGATTATGAAGGTATAGTCCATGCGAGTTTTTGCTTCCATACGCACGATGACAGTCAGTACTGCACTCATGTACGGCACCCTGACATGTCATGTCCAATTTGTAGACAGGGGCTGGAACGGCAATGCCTCTATAATTGCGGTCGACTTGCCTCTTGTGTTCCTAGCATGTACGAGTCATGTAGCCTGTGACATCTGTCTGCGTCGTGCCATTCGATGCAGCAACTGTGACTGCGAAAATTGGACGTGGTGCTTCCATAGCCCACACCCGAACCGGTCCTGCCCGGTCTGTAGGGGTGGCCACTCGCCATAGTAGGTTTTTTTTTTTTTTCCACATATTTCTTTCCTTCCCGTTGCCCCTACCTTCCCTGGCCCATACTCCTGGAGCACTCCGCCTTCTATCCCTTACCCTCCACCCTCCCCTCCACTCCCTTTGTACTACTAACGAAAAGCATACGAATGAGCATCATTAAGAGAATAGACGATATGAAGATCAGAAATGGAATGAACGGAAGTATGAAGATGAAGGACGGACACAGACTGTATAAGCTGAAGATCTGAAGTGAAATGAACAGGAATATGAAGCTCTGAAGAGATGCACAGGAGCATACCTTCCATTTTACTCTGCCTTCTGAAATAACGTGCAAGTGGGCCGTGAAGGCACACGGGGATGTGGGCAGCTGCCGCTCAACCACAATCAACGTGGGCAGCCTTGTGCAGAAGAGGCACAGTAAAAGGGGAGCTGCAAGAACAATGAAACGGGTACCCCAAGGACAACGAAAAAACTGTCTAATTATAAAATTGCTTTAATATGTTGGACATCTCAAATGCTCTCGTTGTCTGCAATAGGACAAAGACTGCTTTGATTCTGAATCTATTCACCTGGGTGGAATTAGGGCTGTTGTGGGGAAAACTAAAACACACACACACACACACACACACGCACACACACACACACACACACACAC